TAAGGTGCTGTCTGAGACCAGCGACCTTTCCCGGGTCTGCTACTGAAATTTCCTGCCTCTCTGTTATTCTCCTTTTCGGTAAGATGATATGAAACCCAAAACTTTTATTGCCCCTTTTAAAGTGGCTTTATAGTTCCCCGTCTACTTCATATACTGCCTTATTCTCCTGAACTGTGATATTACTTAGGGGAAATCTGTGCAGAGGGCTGCAAAAAGCATTGGCCTTTCTGCCATGTAGAAAGAAAGAAAGCAGGAAAACTTTGCAGACTTCAAAAAGATTAACCGGGAGGGGAGATGCAAGAAACTTCTGTTTTCTGATTTTCGGCAAATGGGAGTAGCACTTTAATCCCAGCAGATAATAAAAAGAGAGGGCAGGAATATGCTGTTGACACAGAAAATTTACAGGGGAAAAAACAAAAGACAATTTTGCATTATGCACATGATCCTTGTCAATATAACAAAAATGGTTAAATAAGAAGATCTGGCCAAGGTTCCAGCACACTGTAGCATCAGCCAGAGAAAAGAAACTGTCCAGTGCCATAATTTCCAACTGTCCTGATTTGGCAAAGAAAGTCCTCTGCCATCCCACTTTTTTGGCTGCTTTTAAAATCTCCATTTCTTTTCTCCTCTTCCCACTTTCCTCCTTGATCCTCCACTTATTTTAGTTGCTGCAAATTGAGTTTGAAGTGCAAAAGCAATTTATGGACAATTAATTCAGCAAGGAGGAGAAAAGAGAAGGTGAAGTCTTGCTCTTTCCAGTATGCTCTGGCAAAAGCAAACTGCTGTAACGTCTCCTAGTTTGTGCGTTCTTCCCCATTAATCACTTTTGCCATCTTCACTACACTTTAATGTTCCTTAGCCACACATTGGAGCATGGGGCTCTTACCAGTTACAGAGTTGCTAAAAAAATACGTCACAGATGCTAACTCAGGTCTATCATGAGGACAGTGATGGACAGTGACATCGAAAGAAGACTTGGATTTTCAGGCTCGGGTTCATCTTATAATATTTTTCTATAGGGAGGCAAAAGGAATTACCGTAATTCCTCTGATCATGACATGCCAACACCTTTGTTGGAGAAATGCCTTGACCGAAGTCATGACCAAGATTTCATTCTGCCAGCTGAGCTTTTATCCAAATGAACTCTTCAAATATCTGAAGAGATGGAGAGGAAGCAAAAAGAGCGAGCTTGCTCTTCTGCCACTCCAAGAACTAAAACATAAAGCAAGGGAAACAAAGGGCAAGTGGTTTCACCTAAACATTGGGAAGAACTTATTTGCTGTCAAAGCTGTCCAACAGTGAAATGGACTGCCTCTGAGGGTGATGAAGACTTCCTTCCTTGGAGGTCTTTAAGCCGAAGTTGGATGGGCATCTTCCAGGAGTGCTTCAGTTGTATACTCTTGCCTGGTAGGGGGTTGGACTGGATGACCTTTGGGGTCCTTTCCAGCTCTAAGATTCTATGATCCCTCCAAATCCAGGCCCTGAAATGTCTTCTCCCTTCCTTTCCCTTTGTCCATTTCATGCTGCCACACCGGCCTTCTTTCCAAAGAAACCACCAAGCCAAAATGTAGTCCTTGGCAATGTCAGCATACAAATACCATTGGGCAAAAAAAGCAGCTTTTCTGGCTAGTGGCATGTCTGACCCAGTTTTCTCAGCCTCTGACCTGCTGAGATCATTCTCCCCTCCGTGGCTCAAGGCACTTGTTTTGCAACAGACGGAGAGCCAAGGGCCTGGAATAATGCTCAGAGAGGGTTTGTTCTGTGTCTGGTGAGGCTGGAGGAAAAGACCACACACACAGGATTTTCAGGATGGTAGCCGCAGCTTGCAGAAGCATTTGGTTTATATTAATTATGTCTGGACAAAAAGAAAGAGAGGCCTAAGCAGGAGGAAAGGAAGGGACAAGGACAGCGAGAGTCAGATCATCCACAGGTACATGAGGCTACTTCTGAGGTTTTTGAGGGGAGAAACGATCGGGTTTTGCTTTTTAAAGATTAGTGTCTTGCCTTAACAACAACAAACGGGTCTTCAAAAACAGAATCAATGGTACCAGAAGCCTCTTAAAAAGTGGAAACTGGCACAGCGTCACATGGTAATGATAATAGCTGCTTATGTATTAAAAGGTGCCTTCAAAAGCCCTACAATGTTCTCCGGGAGCCAGATGAAAACATAGAGAGCCTCGCTCTCTCTTTTTATGGCTTCTCTCCATGGTAGAGGTTTGTTTTGTCATGTTATCCAAAATGCCAAGGTCCCAAGGGGCATCAACAAACAGACTCCCAATATTAAAAGGGATCTCAACATAGGGCTTTCTCAATCCTCCTCAAACAACCCAGAGACAAAATGGAAGCCGTTTCGAAGGAGGGCAAACAGCTGAAAAATTGTCCAGTCAATGCAGCCAGAGTGTATAGATAACTTTTTTTTCCCCTCTCAAGCAGCTGGTGGGAGTACGCCTCTAATACGCAAGTGTGTGCCCTTTTATGCACAGAGAATCCCGATGTAGTAATCTTGCCTTAGACGTCCGCCATGTGTTTGGAAGCAGGACAGGGACTACAAGGGGGCTGCAGCAATTGGGAGGGGGATCGAAGCAGCTGGATCCTTCCTCAACATTTTGGAGTTTAATCTCTGAAGAATGCAAGAAATGTCTGTCTGTGCACCACAGCCAAGATCAATTCTGTGGACCGGGTGAGCCAATGTAAACGTTCATGTTCTATGTCCCAGCAGTTTGGTTGCATTTTAAAAAGACACAAACCTGTAATTGCATAAGAACGCCTGCGACCAAGAACCCAAGGAGTGGACTGAAAAGCTTTCTAGTATACCTAGTATAACTGTCTGGGGATCCCAAAGAGTGAATTGCAAAGCTTTCTTTTCCAAAGCTATCGAGTGTACCTTTCAACAATCGAGGACCCAAAAAATGGATCGCAAAGCTTTCTTTTCCAAAGCTATCTAGCAAACCTCTCCATTGTCCAAAGATCCCAAACGGTGGATTCCAAAGCTCTCTAGCATACCTTTCCCAAGGTCCCAAAGAGTGGATTGCAAAGCTTTCTTTTCCAAAGCTATCTAGAATACCTTTCCATTGTTCCGAGATCCCAAAGAGTGGATTGCAAAGCTTTTTTCCCAAAATCTATCTAGCATACCTTTCCACTGTCCCAAGATCCGAAAGAGTGGATTACAAAGCTCTTTCCCCCAAACCTATCTAGCATAACTTTCCACTGTCTTGATTTGTCTAGGAAAATCCGTCATGAAATTTTCCTTCAGTCCCCAAATTGCTACCATTTTTGCAGTCACTTAAAACTTCAATTGAGCATTTCAAAACAGTGAAAGAAAGAGGGCAAGCAAAGTGACCAAGGGAATAGAAAGATAGCAAGTAGTAGACTTCTAGGGTTCCCAAGTAAGTGCTACGGCTGGTCCTGAGATTTCAGGGCCAAACTTTGAGACCAAAGGACCCTAATAAAGTGTGATGCATTAAGCGTCAATTACAATTGGAGAAAATACAGCATTCAAATAAACAGCTCCAACACCAAGCAATGGGGAAGGGCTAAATACTCTAAAGGCACCAGATGCCATCTAATCTTGGAGGCCCAGCAGGATCAGCCTTGGTTAGTACTTGGATGGGAAGCCACCAGAGATTGCCAGGTGCTACAGGCTATAATGCAGAGGAAGGAACTGGTAAAACCACCTCTGAGGAGCCCTTGCTTAAGAAATCCCTAGGAAATTTATAGGGTTGCCATAAGTGGACAGATGACTTGAAGGCACAGATGGCTTGAAAGCACGTGTGTGTGTGTGTGTGTGTGTGTGTGTGTGTGTGTGCGCGCGCGCGCGCATGTGTATGTATGCATGCATGCACGCTCACACACACACACACACACACACACACATTTCAGGGCTGTGCTCTCACACTAAGGGGGGTTGCAGACTGCCAGAAATAGTGCAAATTGAGTCCACTTTTAGGGTTAGGGTTAGTGCTAGGGAATCATGGGAATTGCTTTTTTTCTAAGACATTGAGCCTTCTCTGTCAGAGAGCTCTGGTGCCACAATAAAATACAGTTCCCATGATTCCCTAGCACTAACCCTAACCCTAAAAGTGGACTCAGTTTGCACTATTTCTGGCAGTCTGCAATCCCCGTAAGAAGCCATGCCCTGAGATATGAAACCCTAAAGCCCTAAAGAGCTCTAAGCTTGAACAATTTTCAATGTCATGCTTTCTGCAATGCTTGATATTTAGGGACCGATGGAATATGTATTTCATTTGGGCAAGGATTGGATCCTTATTTAGGGGGCAAGGCCGTGTAAACCCACTGAGTGACCTTGGGCAAGTCGCACTCTCTCAGCCTCAGGGGATGGCCATGGCAAACCCCTTCTGAAGAAACGTGCCAAGAAAACCCCATGAGAGGTCAGCCTTAGGGTTACCATAAGTTGGAAATAACTTGCAGGCGCACAACAACAGCAAACTATCAGTATCCACCCGTAACTACACCCCTGATGCCTGCCATTCTTCACCCAAAATCCACTTTTAAAACCCTGATGTACTTCTATGTTGTTGTTTTTTCCCTCAACAGCGCTACATGCCTGTATATAGATGAAGACGCAATCCGTATACCCAAACCAGTTGTCTGGCCAGCAAGGTCCAGATGAATGAAGAAGACAGGCCAAAATGAAGATATTAACCAGAACAATGACTTATGGTCTCTTAGGGAGAAGGAGTGAGGAAGCTCACAGGAATGTTGGGAGTGTGCACACCCCCTCGCACTTATGATGATGATGGTGATATCATCATTCCAGACCTCTGCCTCCAATATTTCACAAATGAAATGTGGGATGTGTGAGGCTAAGGGGAAAAAAATCAGTGTATGATCAAGACAAATGTTATTAATGTGGAAGAACAGGCTCAGAGATGCTGCTGCATTTTGCTTTTGCCTGAGCCTCCTGGGAAGGGCAAGACTCTGTCTCATCCGCTCCTCTCCCTGTTGCTGAATTAACTGAGTATAAACCCATTTAGAGTAGAGTCAATATGGCATAATGGTTTGAGTGTTAGACTACGGCGCTGGAGACCAGGGTTCAATTCCCAGCTCAGCCATGGAAACCCACTGGGGGACCTTGGGCAAGTGACACTCTCTCAGCCTCAGAGGAAGGCAATGGCAAACATCCTCTGAAGAAATCTTGCCAGGAAAACCCCATGACAGGTTCACTTTAGGGTTGCCATAAGTTGGAAATGACTTGAAGGCACAAAACACACAAACTTCTTTTGGACTTTGGACTCCTTTTGCAGCAATTGAAGCAAGCTGACGACAAAGGGAGGAAGGAGGAGGATATTGCAGTCTGTTCCACTTTAACTGTTAGGGCTCCATCCTACAAAATGCTGAGATTGGTAGCTTGGTGGGAATACTTGGGTACATCTATTCTGTTGAAATGATGCCATTTGACACCCCTTTAAGTGATGTAGGGCCATCCTAAGAAATGGGAATTGTATTTCTAAAAGGTCTTTAGCTTTCTCTGCCAAAGAGTGCTGGTGCCTCAAGAAACTACAAATCCCAGGATGCTGTAGGATGGAGCCACAGCACTAAAAGTGGTGTTGAACTGCATTATTTTGACAGTGTCGATGCACCCTTAGAATTCTATGCAAGAGAGATCCAGTGCTATATATAGTCCAGAGAGTGGCGTAGAGAAGCCAAAGTCCCTCATCCAGCTACAAACCCCAGAGTTCTCTAGGATGGAGCTTCAGCATTTAAAGTGGCATCGAAGTGTGTTAAGTATGCAGTTTGGATCTGGCCATTCAGGAAACATCCCAGTTCACAGCTGGGATGTTCCTAGAACCACAATATACAGAGCGACTCTCAGTTTACAGCCACTTCCTCAAGGACTCCAAAGCCAAGCTGGTTTTATATTCAGCCCTCCTTCAAATAGATGCAGCTCAGCCATCCAGCTGTTCCACAGTGGACCAACTGATGCTTCTGGCAGTGGCTCAAAAGGGAAACAAATTCTCCTTTGTGGGGAAAAAAACAAGGCTGCAAGACAAAGGCCAAAGCCCACAATATAATCTAGACCTTCAATTCTGAGAGTAGGCATGTAATTTTTTTTACTGAGTTTCTCCTCCAAGACAGCAATCAGTTGTTTTAACCATTTGCTTCCCGAGAAAGCCTTTGAAAAACCACACAGAGGCCTATTTGCAATCGAGGATTATTCTACGCGAAATTTGTGTATGGTTGTTTTTGCACAGAAAACAGCATTTCTGAGCAGGAAATAAAAAATTCAATGCAGAAATATTATTTCCTGGCAGACAAGGCTGCTTCCAGTGCAGAAAATGTTGCTTTCTGCAAAAAAAACAAAGACAAGCGAATTTTGCACAGAGTAAGTCCCAAACTGCAGAGATTTTCATCAATCTAGGATTCTTCTTCTTAGTTTCTCAACACTTGTTTTTTGCTGCTCCATAGACTAGGAAATGGAACAATGGATTGAAACTACAGGAAAAGAGATTCCACCTAAACATTAGGAAGAACATCTCATATTATATGTGTGTATATATAATATATATAGTCATCGTAAACCAACTTCTAATTGTGTGAAGTTGAACTGTACCATTGTGCAACCTCCATAACATCAGGAAGGGAGCCATTATGTAACTTTGCCATCATGACCATTGCACAAATCACAGATCAATGCATTCAAACTATCGGAAAAGATTTTGCACCTCAATATTAGGAAGAACTTTCTGATGGTAAGAGCCATTTGACAGTGGGAGACACAGCCTCGGAGGGTGGTGGAGTCTCCTTCTTTGGAGGTTTTTAAACAGAGGCTGGATGGCCATCGGTTAGGAGTGCTTGGATTGTGCATTCCTGCATGGCAGAATGGGGTTGGATTGGATCAAAAGGCAAACAAATTCTCCTTGGAGGAGAAAAAGAAACCAGGCTGCAAAACAAAAGACAAAACTGATAATGTAATCTATACCTTCAACTCTGAGAGCAGGCATGTAATTTTTTTTCTGAGTTTCTTCTCCAAGAAAGCAATGAGTTGTTTTAACCATTTTCTTCCGAGAATGTTTTCAAAAACCACACAGATGCCTATTTGCAATCCAGGATTATTCTACCTGAAATTTGTGCATGGTTGTTTTTGCACAGAAAACAGCATTTCCCGTGGTGGAAATAGAGACCCCGGGGGGGGGGTTCTCTTCCAATTCTATGATTCCATAACGTGAACCTTTTTCAACCTTTGTGTGAATATTTTTCGAATATTCTTTCCCTCCCTATCTGATAGTTGCCCCAAATCTCTGGCTTCCCCAGTCTCAGCACTTGTAGACAGAGTTCGCTCCCCAAAACACACGCCAGTGGGCTTTCCTTCTGTATTCTGATATATTAGAAGCCCATCAGGAGAGGTAGGGAGAGATGTCAACCTCATAATTGCTTCTGGCATTGATCTGTAAGGCCAGCGGCTAGTTCCAAGAACAACAAGAGGGAATGTTAAACAAACTGCTGCCCATTTCTCACATTTCAGCTGGAACAAAGTCCCCTCTTCCTTCTGCAGGTCCATTACACGGGTTTTTGTTGTCTGTATTTATGATATGTCTGAAAAAGCCTGAGCTTTATCACTTCTTGCAAAGAAACCAGGGGAGGAGGGAATGTCAACGGAGGGAGGAAAAATTGGCATGGCTGATCGCTCGGGTTCCTTATTCAGGAAGGAAATGTCAAGCCATCTGAGAAAGAAGAAAAACACAATGCCATATCCTTGTGAGGAAAGAAAAGGGAGCGGGGAAACAAGTCATATACCAGGTAATGTCTTTAAAGTATAAAGCTATTTGGCAGCTCAACAATATGCTGTACGTGAGCCGTGCGAATAAATCTTGAGAGATGACTGGTCTGAAAAACACTGCACTTGACTGCTTGCCTATGCAAACCTATGCTAGCTGCATGACAGCTCCAGATGTCCCAATTTGGCAGGGGGCAGAGACAGTCTCAGTGAATCTGCTGTTGTCCCACTTTTTCATCTGCATTGAAATGGTCCCAGTTTCTCTTGACCCTTCTCCCATCTCCCTCCTTTGTGCTCAGCTTGCTTCAATGGCTGCAAACTGTGTTCAGCATGCAAAAGTACTTTGCCCAAGGTCTATGCATGTCCTAGGAGGCCACAGGTGAGGCCCCCAGGGTGCCATAAAACACATCAGTTCACCTGAGACAGCTACTCTTTCTCAGCCTAATCGATCGCACAAGGTTGTTGTGAAAAGAAAATAGAAGGAGGCGAGTTAGCAATATACCACTTCTGATCCCCTTGCTGGGAAAGGCAGAGTGTAGTAGAAAGAGAAGAAGACCAAACACCAGATGGATAGACTTGATCAGGGAGGCCATGAGTCTGAGGCTGCAGGACCTGAACAGAGTAGTGGACAACAGAGGGTCTTGGCAATGTTTCATTCCCTGGGTCACCATGATCATGGTCCACTCGAAGGCAGTTAACAGCAACAATAAAACTGGAGGGCAGTAGGAAGACAAGAAGACTGCATACCAAATGGATAAACTCAGTCAGGGAGGCCACAGCCCTAAGCCTGCAAGACCTTCAGAGAGGGCTGAGGATAGGGGGTCTTGGAGGCATCTCATTCACAGGGTGGCCATGAGTCGAAGTTGACTCAAAGGGATTTTATAACAATCCTAGCCCCCTCTCTCTCAAAAAAAAAAAAACATATGAAAATACAGTCGGCCCTCCTTATCCACAGATTCTTTATCCACGGATTCAAGCATCAATAGCTTGGGGAAAAAAGTATAAATTCCAAATAGCGACCCTTGATTTTGCCATTTTATATAAAGGACACAATTTCATTATCTGTTGTTTAATGGGACTTGAGCATCCAAGGATTTTGTTACCCATGGAAGGTCCTGGAACCAAACCCCAGCAGATACCAAGGACCCACTGTACTGCGGTTTTCTGGGCAAATCCAAAGTGGTGCCATTCAGTTCCCTTCAACCTCACTACTGTTGATCCAGACGACTGCAAAAGGTTATTGGAGTGGCTTGAGACAAACACCAACATCTATGCAAAAACAAATGCAAGGTGCAGTTGCACCCAGAAGAAAATGTTAACCCAGGTCTCAAACGTTGTGGTTCCACTTTATTTGTCACTGCACCTTCCCAGTGTGTTCATTTCTGTTCTGAATGTGGGCCCCAGGG